CCCCCCCACGATGATTCAATTGAATCTAATGTATTTATTCATGGAAAATTCATTTCCAATTCCGCATTCAGTTGACATCAATATCATGATTAAAATTCAAAGGTAAAAAATAGTAGGGAAGAGAAAACGTGCTTCAAGAATAGATTTTAACACCTTTTAAAAGCAGTTTTCATTATCTTTTTTTTAAACATAATCTACCATAAAAATAATTAAAAACAAAATATTTAGAAATCTAATCTATGAAAACTCTTTTAATGCATGGTTACAAAATGGTGGAACTGTCATTTTTTAATGGAAACACATTTTGGTTTTTTAAAAAAAAGTGATTTTTTGTCATATCAGCCTGTAGCTCAAAATGGTCTGTGGCGACTTTTGGTACCTTTCTTTAGGCACACACATAATATTATGTGGCTATAAACAATACACGTGGGTGGTTGGCGGGTGCTCTGGTGTGGTTTGCTTCTTCTTTCCTACGAAACATCTATCGTCCTTATCTCCCCTTCTTCTTTTTATGTCTGTTACTTTCTTGTAACACCTCTAGTCTTCTGGCACTCATATGACCTTAATGCAGTTGCGAGCGTCGTAAAACCTCTACTACAACTAAAACAATACACATAAGTCGCTATACAATGTAATATCGTATACACGTAGGCCTATAATGGGCAGTGGTGTCGGTAGCCTAGGGGTTAGGCTACCGGACTCGCAATCCTGAGATTGCGGATTCGGGGGGTTCGAGCCTCAGCTCGGTCCGACGTTTTGTCCTTGGGAAAGGCACTTTACACGAATTTTCCATTTGGCTTGGTCCTTTCGGAGACGGACGTTAAATTAGGAGGCCCCGCCTCTTAAATAACCTTATAGTGTTGATAGGGGCGTTAAACTCATACCATTTCACCATTTTCTATAATGGGCATGATGACGTGAGCACACCTCTGAAGACCTCGTCTACCCATGCGAATTCACACCTACTCACGAATGTGGGCGTGAGGGCACGTGAGTGCACACAGTATAGACACAGTAGACCTGGGTTCAATTTCCAAATGGGGAGAATTTTTATCGACTTACTCGGTCTTTGAAGAGGAAGGCCACGCAAAAGGTGGATCGAGGGTGTCAAGGAAACCCTAAGAAAACACATTACAACTGAAAGAGCTGCGGAGCTGGCCTACCATAGAAAACTGCATCTACCCTCGACGCTTAACGGCAACAGAGGATGAAAAAGTAAAGTAAAGTAAGTATTCGGTCCTTCTGCTAGGACGTTGTATCCCTCTCAGTCCGGGTTGACCCTGTCAGGTAGGGTCGATGCCAATCTCTGAAACGATCTAAATTGTATCGATGGTGACGTAAAAATCCCTTCATCATCACTGCCTTTCTCACCGTGTGTCAGGGTATGTCATCATCATTGCCTTTCTCAAACTGTGTCAGGGTATAGGCCACGAACAAACACTTTCCAATTTCCGTATCCTGGGCTTGCCCATTGATGTTATTCCATGCCTTCCCTATTTTCTGTACATCAATTTCCGTGACTCTTCTCCAGGTTCCACGTGGTCTTCCCCTTGATCTTTAACTCTGTGGGTTCCAATCTAACACTTTCCTTGTTATGCAGCTACCTGACTTCATGAGAGTGCTATATATATATATATTACGAGAAGGGAAAATTTCCCCACTCCACACCTTTCATATTCCACGTCATAGTCGAGTTGAGATCTCCGGGCGGAAGGCACGGCACCATTTGCCTCGGTCGTGCTCACAAACTTGTGCGCCGTTCTAAGAGCCGCAAAGTCCTTGGAGTGGTTTCGTACCTGACCTTCGGTAGTTTTGTCCAGCTCAAAGCAGCTTTTGCAAACCTGACAAGGACAAGACACAGCACATAACAAAGGGATAGACATTTTGAGATACATCAGTAGAAAGCATTTCTACAGAAGAATTTAGACAAATTTTTTAAATCGTCAGATATTGAGGTTAAAAGCAGTAAAATAAACGAGGACCAACAGGAGGGGAATGCATGGTTACATGACAATATTCCGTCTCAGAAAAGATGAAAAGGAAACAGACTTATTCGTACAAAATCTGGAACCCTGTAAATTTTGAAACATAATTTTTGAGTTTTGTCATGTTACCAATTTCAAAATGCTTAAAAAAACTGGAAAAACAGTCAAACGAATAATAGTCCTACAGTAAAAAACCCCCCAAAAGATAACACGCGCTTAATTCAGAATTGTGTACCTTGTAAAGATCTCCATCTGGGTCAAAGTGGGCCAGTTTGTTGAGACGACGTTTGTACTTGAGACAGTCCGCACAGAATACTTCTCCGCATCTGAAAGGCAATTTCTTTTCCGTTAAAAAAATAATTCGGTGACACAACCCACAACCTGTCTTAACTGACTCCTTCACCCCTTCCCTCTCTGCAAAATGAACATAAAACCCGCAAAAGCGGCTGATGAAGCACTGCTCCAGAGAAATTTACTCCAATTCAGATTAACCCCCCCCCCATCCCGAAACATTTGTCGGTTATGCAATCAGAATTCCAAAAGAAGTAAGTATATTTGGAACATAACTGTGGCACAGAAGGGCCATCTCTCAGGTAACCTATTTTATAGTAGAAAGGCTAAAAACTGCTAAGTTAAAATATCAAATACCGAGCTCAAATTCCAAGCCAGCATTTCAAACATTTTCATCTGTTGTAATATTACATCACTTATTGAGACTATGTATTTGATTTTCAAACCTTGCCTTACATCAAAGTAAAAATCTAGTTTTATAATAAAATTTTGGAGTTAGCCTATTTGCGCTTGATGCCATGATCAATATAGTTCAGTGATGAGCTACATCTCCGAAGCTTCACACTGTAGACCTACTGCTGAGATGCTCTACAAAACTCCAACTTTTTAATCTCATAATTTTCAACTAAACAACAGATTATAAAACAGTCCAATGATGAGTAAAAACGTCAAAGCAAAGACAAAATAAATCTAAAAACGTCAAACGTGCCCCTCTATCTGTGGCGTCGGTGGCATAGTGGTTAGGCTCTCGGACTCGCAACCGTAAGGTCGTGGGTTCGAATCCCGTCAGGGACCCGACGTTGTGTCCTTGGGAAAGGCACTTTACACGAATTTTCCTCACTTCACCCAGGTGGGAATGGGTACCCGGCTATAGTCAGCGAAAGATCTTGTCAGTATGTTAGTGTTTGAGCGCTTAATCAGCTGCTTGCACTGTATGCTTCCCGGGAAGCTGAGAATGTTTCGGAGTGTTCTATGGTCTGCTGGGGTAATAATATAGTGTAAAGCGCATAGAGCCTGCTGTTGAGCGGGGATTTGCGCTATACAAATGCTATCTATTATTATTATTTATTTTATCTCACCTTCGACAATGATGTGGTCGTTCAAGCACAGTAGAGAAGACTTTACGACACTCTTTATTTTGACAAGCTTTGCTGCTCTCTGCCGACTTCCAATGCTGTTTTGTTATTTCTGTAGACAGTCGTGAAAAGTTGAATGTACTCTAAACATTTATAGTGGGATTACAAAACTACAATGTCTCGAAAGAAAGATTTAATACAATAAGCAAATTTTTACTCATGCACCCATACACAGATGCACTGATTTGAGCACTAAACTGCCATGATTATAATTTTTGCTGCAGAACACACGCATGGCCACTAAAACCCTTGCAAATCAATTGTTTTCAAGTAAACATCAATCCTAATTGCCAAAACATCAAATCATTGTGAAATGCTGGGGGTCATGCCCCCCTGAAACCCCCCTTGTTGTTAAAAACAAGTCAAAATACACTCTATGCCACTGGTCCTATTGTAATATAGTTCTGTTTTCAAACATCAATAACTCCGTAACTATTGATTTGCGGCAAAAATGAAGGCCATATTCATGTTCAGCAAGCAAAATCTCTCTCTCTCTCTCTCTTGCCCTTTTTAACTCCCAGTGGAGCATAGGCCATAAACCTTTCTCCAGCTGTCCTGTGCATCTTTTTCTAGCTGTTTCCATGATATCCCCGTCTTTTCCATTTCCGTTTACCGCTCGCCTCCATGTCATCTTTGGTCTTCCTTTCTTACGTTTTCTTTGTGTGAAAACCTGTCTGATGATGCTTGTTGGGGTCTCCTCAAGGTGTGCCCAATCCATTTCCATTTCTACACCTGTATGTCTTCCTTTACTGGCCTTTGACTTGTTCTCTCCCACAGTTGAACATTTGTGACTCAAACGTACTACTTGATCCCCACTATCCATCTTAGACATACATTTACGAAGTTCTGCAGTTTCCTTGCTGCTGATGCTGTGAGCTTCCATGTCTCTGAACCATACTGTAGAACAGTCTTCACGTTTGTTTGAAGATCCTCAGCTTGGTGTTCAATCCCAGTTCCTTAGACATCCATATATTCCTGAGGATGATGAATGCTGCTCTTGCCTTTTGGATTCTGACCTTGATGTCTTCCCAGGAATGGACAGGAGCATGATTCCTCTGTAGTTTTTACTCATGCAGGTCTCCTTTCTTGGGTAGTTTCATGAGCAATCCCTCTCTCCAATCTTGTGGAAATTCTTCGCTGTCCCATATCTTGCCAATAATTCCATGAAGAATCCCTGCCGCGGTGTCGATATCCGCCTTGAGAACTTCTGGGGGAATTCCATCTGGGCCGGCTGCCTTGCCTGCTTTCTGGCGTTTTATCGCCTCCTTGATCTCCTCTAAACTAGGCTTTTCTTCACTCACCCCCAGATCAATCTCTGCTGGTGGAATGTCTAACTGTTTTTCTGGCCTTGGTCTGTTCAGTAGCTCTTTGAAATGCTCCTTCCAGCGTTCTTTCTGTTCGTCTGGATTTGTGCTTTCCCTCTTTATCCTTAACTGGTACATCTAAGTTCCTGTATCTGCCTGCAAGTTTCTTTGTGGTTTCATACAGTCCTGCATGCAAAATACTACTAGAAAAAAAAAGTATAGATCTATACATAAAACGTGTAAATCTACATGAGATGGCTGTGTGAGTTTTTAAAAAAATAATTTAAAAATTCGCATCAAATGTTCCTAAAAAGATCTTGCTAAACCAAAAAAAATATCAAAGGCCCCTTTCCCAGTTTTGTATTTTACAGAGGCATCTCCTAAAGAGGTTTTTTTGTTGTTGATTTTATCAAATTGTCATCATGTTCCACCTAAAAACTTTAAAAAGGTTGCCACTGAAAAACCAAATTAATATATATGCAAGGAGTCTTTTCAAAATTAGCTGGAAAAGGAAAGGAAATAAGTAAATTTTTACTTCATTCAGAATAGTTTACCCAGAAATTCCCATCAGTGCATGATTACCTGGTGTGTCAGAATGAAGACAAGAGATCTGATTTTCGTGTGTCTTGTTACTTGTATGATCGATCTCGTTATCTTTTATAATATATTTTTTTATAGGCCACCCTACAAAACGTATTTTTCAAAGAGACAAGTCTCTTCCTGAAAATATTTATATATTCCGGTGTGTTTACATATATATATGTGGTGTAAACGCACCTTAAGAATGGAAGGACATGTAGCGTGAACACACCTTAATAATAATTATTGTGACGTAGGCCTAAGGGACATATCACGTGACTGTGATTTCGTGCAAGCGGCGGGAAATCTGAAGGTCACTCTCTCACTGAAGCTGAAGCGAGTAACATCGGTTAACGAAGAACTAGCAGACGACCAGCAGGTGGGGCCCCATCAACATCAACTATCATCTAGATCTACTACTCCAAGACTCACGTAAGTTGTAACATAACATATATGCTGAATTGAATATTATTTTGCAGGGTTTTCCCTCCTTCTTATATTTGCTCACACTCAACTTCTAAGACTAAAAGTAAAAGTGTCGTCTAGCCTATTGGATAGTATAATAACTTGAATAACTTGTGTTGTAGACTCTACCGTTGGAAAGGAGAAATTCTTTTAAACTTTAGTTAAGACTTACAGATACCTTTCAGAGTTCCAACATAACCATCATCATGCTCTCCTTCTTCATGTGTTAAGTCATCAATCAATCTGCTTGAACTTGAAATATCCATGGATAAAAGATTGAGAAGATCCGGAGAGAGAACTGTGACAGTGGCAGAAGGGGTCACTGGCTTCTTTGAAAAACCCCATGATATTCTTTGCGACATGAGATTTCTTCTTCAATGAGGAAGTAATATAGATCTAGATCTAGATATCTAGTTAGCCCCTAGATTATAAACAATCTTGTGTAGAATCTAGATCTACATCCGCGTAATCGGAGGGCTAGCTTTAAAAAAAAATATTGAGATATCACTTATCACTGCCGGCAGCAACACTGACTCTATGATTATATCTTTGTTTAATCATTCGTCGATTGCGAAATCTGACACTGACACTGACTCCAAAATTAAAAATAGACCCAGATTTCAAATGGCCACACTAAATCCTTTAATGTCCTCTCTCGTATGTCGTAGAAAATAGCGTAGAAACAACAATATCATAAGCCGCCGAGACACTCCTATACTAGATCTAAACTTATCTTAGCCTTTCTGTTTTATTTTGAAAGTTTGAGCTCTTCCACTTCCAGGAAAATAAACAAGAGTTTGTTTACAAGTTCCAGCACAGTTGGTTGTAGTAACCTCCCCTTAATCATCTGATCGATATGGCATGGGGAAATCATTCTCGACTAGGAAAAAATAATGTTTGGGTAGACTCCCTTGGATAGGGGGATTTATGAGGCTTAAAGGCATTGGGTTTTGTACCGAATATTTAATTAAAATTTATAGAAATTAGAAATGTCATTTGTGTACAAGTACATTTTTACTTTCCTTTCCGCTCAGAGATGTATTGCTTTTGGGGGCTAAACCTTACTAATTTATTTATTTAATTCATTAATAGATAGATCAACTAGTTAATTGATTAATTAAATTGATTAATTAATTGATTAATTAATATTTGTACCCTTCATTCATTCATTCATTCATTCATTCATTCATTCATTCATTCATTCATTGATTCATATTTATTTATTTTACGGCGCTCGCAACTGCATATTACATATTATGAGCGCGCGGAACAATATTTAAGAATCTTCAGTTTGGTTGGAATTTATTTTGAATTTTGCCGAAGCCTACTCTTATCGATTTGAGGATCACTAAGGAAGCACAACTTGCACACGGAACCTCTAAGATTTTAAGCCCTTATCCGAGAAGTCTAGGTGTTATACCAGTGTTTATAGAGGCGGCGGGATACGAGAATTATTGCACGCCGGGCCCGCTCTGAACCGTGCGAGTCATGTGACACACTCTTTCTTGTCTGTTAGCGTACATTATAGTCTGCGTGCGCGCGCGCGCGCGCGCGTGTGTGTGTGTGTGTGTGTGTGTGTGTGTGTGTATGTGTGTGTGTGTGTGTGTTTGTGTGTTTGTGTGTGTGTGTGTGTTTGTGAGTGTGTTTGTGAGTGTGTGTGAATGCGTGTATGTGTGTGTGTGCGTGTATGTGCGTGTGAGC